CTTTCGATGAAACTTTTATTATAATATACGCCCAAGCTTTCATGTTCGACAAAAATAATCATATGACTCCTGTTGTAAAAAAGCAGACATCACATTTCCTTAGTAAGAAATTAATTATTCAAGTGGAAAATGTCCAAAAGGAGCAAACCATCGACACTCCGAGAGCTATTGTGTTAACCACAGTTTAGAAGTAAGAACTTGGGAAACTTCAGCTGCCTATCTATTGATGAATATGAGCAACTACAGAAAATAAAGTCAGAAAAATAACTAAAAATATTAATTTATTGTAAGAACGAGGAGAATATTTAAACTCATAAATAATGAAACTGACAAAAAGATACAGATAAAAAACGATAACTCTAAAAATGTCAACGTTGCTTACATTTCCAAGATAACGGGGTCAACTTGAATTGGGCCGCAATAGCACATTATGTCAAGAAAATGGCAAAGATATCGACGGTTTGAAGGTGTCGATCTAATCTTCATCAAGCCGGAAATTAATTTAATACAGTACTTTAAACAATATTTACATGACTGCGAGACTTTTCTCAAATGTTAAAATAAAAGAATCCGGTATCAACCAAACTAAGCACAAATTTCTAACATGGTTGCATCGTCGTACTAAAAGGGTCAATGTTGGATCGATTCATGATATATACAAGCTACAATCCTAGAAAGATCACGATTTCACAAACATTGGATTTGTTGGAGGTCTAACATATATAAGGAAAATGTACAACTAAGAAAAACTACGATCAACATGACCAAAGCGAATCATAAAAAAATTGCAACATGTGATAAACTTCAATAATATATCCATCTACATCAATTGTGACATTAAGTTGCAAAAGTTCTGTGTTGATCCCGTAGATTGATACGAATAAATGACAGAACAATCAGGCACGCTTTGGGTAGAATTAGATATCGTTTGGTATTTAATTTTGCTTGAATCTGTGGATGAATCTCGCAGTTGTATAGGTTTCCAAGTGAGTTTGAGCACTGAATCTGACATTCTGACTTGAGCATATACATGGAGCTTGTGTTTGATATGGATTCTGGACGCGAAACCGATTCGGAAATTGAATAGAAATTAATTTTTTATTCTTCTGTATAATCTAACTGATCCATTGTTGGTTTATAGTCTTCCGGTAAAATCAAGAACTATAACTCTCTCTTCTTATCAAGTACGTACAAGAAATGTCAAATGGAGGGAAAGTCCATGAGTGATCCATGTCCAAAACATAATGGACCGGTCATGGATATATCCATATACAAAACGGATTCAAATAGACCCGCCCTATTTAATCCGCATCACGTAATCATTAGACGATATAAAGTACTTAAAAATGAGTTAAAACTGATTTGAAAAAAACCCATCAATATCCAGCTCATTTGGACTTGTACGATCCATTTGACACTTCTATTAAAAAAAACTTGTTATGATTAATTGGACACGAAATTGATCCATGGTTAGTTTAGTGAACTGTAACTCTTTATCTCTTCTTATCAAGAACTTGTTATGATGACTCCTTGACTAGTTATTGTATTGGCTGTGTGAAAAGTGAAAAAGCGAGCACTTCACTTCCCATGTGTTTTCTTTCTTTACAAGTTTCAGTACTCAAAAAAAGAGAAAACTTCATCAGTACGGAGCACTAAATCCACAAACAGTAAACCCAACAACAAAAGGTTTGATGCTTATCTTGTGCGCATGCTTCCTTATCCCCCTCTGCATTTATTATTTGAGATAGCGACTAGCCAATCTCCGTTTCTTTTCACTTCTGGTTAAAACTTAAAAAAACACTCTATTAATCAAGAATATCATGGCATCACACATTTACAACAGAGCTGAATCTGTTTCTTTCTATTACACTTACACTGCAAGATTGGTCCACATTTGCAGCCGTAACAATAAACTATATGATGTTCTGAACTTGCATCCATAAATATAATTACACAGATGGATCATTACACTGCATTTACTAATTTACCGTCCATGCAGACCCTTTACATCACATTAGCCTTGAAACCTAGACTTAGGCCATTCTCATCATCACTGAACGGGTCATTTAGGTTCTTTTATCTCTATTTCTCTCCTCTTCCACCTAGCATTGTTCTACTATCTTTCACATTTACGTGAAGAAAATCCATGATTTAACAACTAAGCCTTAATGTGGCTGTGACTCAGTATTTTTATATATATCAGCTTTCTTAATACTATTTATTCAGAAACCTCTCTAGAGCAGAACATGAAGCCTATTTACTTTCACGTTACAGTCAACTAGATACATAGCATTCTTCAGACCGACCCTGGCAGGGAACATGTTCAGATAATAAGCCGCAAATGTCACTGTCCTCAACAAAAGCACCATCAGAATCTGATACCAGTAAAATCCACTTAATGGAGTGTGTTTGATCAAGAGGTGAGTACGGAATTACACCGGTGTAGACTGAAAAGCTTAACAGAATCCAAGTACAATTTTTTCTGTAAGGCTGAGATCCCACTGTCTGTAAGTCATTGAGTTATTGTCTGATCTCCTGATCAAAAGCTATATCTCGTTTGGTTATAACTTACACATATAAAATGATAATCAACTTGAATAAAAATTGGGCCCATCTAGAAAACATATATTACTCATATCGACTGGCTTATGTTTGTCGACAACAGCATCCAGTGATCAATAATGTCACATGACACAGCCATCACAGGCTCTTTACAGGTCGTAGAGGTCAGCTTTTCAATGACTTGATGTTTGCCTCTTCCACCTTTTAACGTTATCTGCTCATACATCGAGTTTAAGCAACCATCAGTGATTAACATCACATTTTCACCCAAAATGGTGAATTTTAATTACCTTTATACCTCATTTTTTCCATGACTTCAACCTTTCAAAATTTCTTCAGAGCTTGAAATTGCCTAGCAAGGTCTATGTTTTGTGTACCAATATCTATAGAAAATTTTGTAAAAATATAAGAAGATAAGATGAAATATAGGTAGTTCTTATGAATACTTAGGAAGTAATATGTGTGATAATAGATTTAATCCAAGGTATATTAGTGATCAAAGTTTGTTGCTCTTTATGAGGTTACGAAGAAACTGTATTATACTGAAATAGGAGACAAGAGTGCTTTAACATGTAATCGTAAGAAGAACATAACTGTAACCTTAAAAGTTAGTATGTGTCTGCTCCTACCAAGATCTTTAAAACGATAAAAAAAGTTCAGGGCTTTTATTAATATTTTGTATTTCACCAAAGGTGTATAAAGTAGTTTTATAATCTCTAAACTCATCTATTTAGAATCTAAGTTAGTGATATCTTTTTCATCATTCCCACTATGAGCGAGGGAGATGGCTCCTCAGGATCCACTACCACCAGTGATACAAAAAATATGTATAGTTAAGTCCATGGAGCCCAGTGAGATTAAAGATATTCTTATGACAATATCCATAGTAGGCTTATCTTGCTCTCTGTGTGCGTAAATGTTCTTTTCCACCAGATATTGTAATGGAATGATAGGAGAAGTTTTAGCTATAAAACAATCGAACAATATAAGGCAAAGTAAATGCCCTAATAAAATATATGAATGAGGAAAAGGGCCAAGTTGTCTATAAACAAACGTGAAATAAACGAAAAGCTGTCTATCACTAAAGAAAAAAGGGAGAAAAAGTGATCCAAGTGGGTCACAAATCAAATCCTAAATCAAGATATTTTATTTGGGCCCTAAGCACAATCATCTTGGTAAGTTTATGTGTCAGCATTAGGAAGATATATAAATAAACTTTTCTGCTTTTGCTGGTGGTGAAAAATTATTGTTCATAAAGTATAAACACATTATTATATGTTTTCCGTTGAATTGTGTTTTTTTTTTTTGTAACTGCCATTAATTTGTGTTTTTAGCAGTTCACTACGAAATCCTGTTCTTTTGGATGAAATGTGAGAAGGCTACAGGATAGTCTTGTTAAGTCAAAACCATATAATCTCTGTAATTTGCTAATATTGGTAGGTTGTCTGACTTTGTTACGAATATTTGTAAATATATATCTGAAAGTTCTTAGATTTGGGTAGAGAATCTGGTCCTAATCCAATTAAGAGACCATAGGTTTATCTTCATTTAAGTAATCACCACTTTCCGAAAGTAAAAGAGAAGAATAAAAGGAATGAATGCTTATAGATGTACATAGTAACTAAGTGGTTGCAGCCTATTGGTTGAATTGGGTGATCGATTTTTACTGATTGCATAGACTTGGTCAATATTTTTTTTTTTTTTTTGGTCAATATTTTGGTTGAGAAAACCTATGATTGATGCTTAGCAAGTGTCAAACAATCTAATAACCAAAATGAGTCGGGATATGAAATGATGGGTTATAATTATATAGGTCCCATGTTAGTGAGGATTGAGACACTTGAATCTAATCCTTAAGCATTATAATGTTTCTATTCATCTTGCTTAGTGGATCCTCATCACCTGCTTACTCACTTGTTTCCTTTTGATTATATTAAAAGAGCCATTAGGAATATATGCCCTGCTATTTAATATAACCCAAAAGGCTCTTTTCTCCACCACTTTCCCCTTCCTGATGATGTACATATACATGTATTCACATCACATATGGGATATATGTACAGTTTAAGTTTCTTATGTCATCATATCTAACCCCTGTTTAAGGATATATGTTGAGTTTTGCATTAAAGAATTAAACTCTCTTAATCTAAAAATATAAATTGTTATAATTTGGTACATAAAAATTCATTCACAAGGTACTTTTATTTTAATATATAAAACAATTTAGATATTTTATATATCATAATATAATCCCAGTCCAAATCCAATATGGTTGTACAGTTACCTGCTTTTGGGTAGATATATTACATTCACATGATATCTATATATACTCTCCACTTGTGCTTCCTCAACTTCCATCAAAACAATCATTTCTCATTTGGGTCTTTCCTTCAAATTTCTTTCTTACTGTTTGGTGTGATTTCAAAAAACTTAAAATTATGGTTGATCCTCAAACACCAATCCCACCTCACCTATACCCACAAGCAATTCAACTCAAACTCTATCAAGCCTTCATCTTCTCCATCCCCATCTTATTCTCCATCATTCTCTTCCTCTTGTTCTATCTTTTTTACCTTAAGAGAAGAGCATCTGCTCTCTCCTCTCCTCCTCCAATGATTCTTCCTGTTTCCTCGACCCACCAGCCTTCTTCTCATCTCACCTCGGTAAGTGTCTCAACGTATCTGTAGATATATATACATACATGCAAAAGTAAAGAATCATTCACGTCAGTAAATAGGAGAGCTATGGTCTTGTTTCACATGGGGATGTGAGGGTTCTTAAGAGAACTTATTGTTAATAACATACAAAGTTTGATAAAGAATACTGAGATTGATTTTGTTTTGTATTGCAGGTTTGTTTGTTAGATGTGAAAATAGAGCTCAAAGACAAGCTCCATGTCGTTTTGTTCAATGAAGAGCTAGAAACAAGAGATTCTCTGTAAGAAACTCTTACTTTGTTCATATAAATTTATCAAATCTTCTATATTGCAAATTTAATCTTAGAATTTGTGAATTTTCATGAGATTAAAATGTAATTACCATGATTCTTTCTAAATAGTTCTTTTACAGTGTTGATATACGAATTGAGATGTGTAAGAATGATCCTTTTGAAAGTTGAAATATACGAATTGAGATGCTGTTTACACATAGACGTAGGTGTTTCTAGGCCGTTGCTTAGAGCTAAGGAATACTAAAAGTAGAGACGGAAAGTTTAAATTCCAGATAAGACCAAAATCAATCAAAAGTCTACAAAATATCAAATCCGAATTTGAATATATATCATATATTTACATGTTTTTGTGCTTAATATTATCTTTGATTTTTTTGCTTATTTTGGTGAAAGAAAAGTTTGACTAATTTAATGAAAATTTGGTGCAGATGTTGCGTATGTTTGGGAGAATTTGAATTGAAGGAAGAGTTGGTGGAAATGCCTTCATGCAAACATATATTTCATCTTGATTGTATTCACCTTTGGCTCTATTCTCACACCACTTGCCCTCTCTGTCGCTCCTCTGTCTTCATCTCCTCGACCAAAACTTCTGTGGACGACAACGACCATCCAGACTCTTCTCAAACTTCACCGGTTTGACTCATTATAACCCGAAAGAAAATAAGCAAATACAAATTTTGTTAGTAAAGTATAGATCAATTCAAAAAAAAACTTGTAAATCTTCAATTTTATTAGATTTTGATGATGCAAGAGACCAAAATGTATTATATCACATTACAAATTGGTCACATATTATGTGTCTTTTGCTTGAGGACTTATTGGTTTAAATTAAACCCTAAAACGGATGGTTACTTGAGGAAAAAGTAACCAGCCACAATAAGAACAAATGTGAGTATCCCAGCTAAGAAACAAACACCCTTTTGTAACTTTCCATCATCATTCCTCAGCACCATGGCTTCATAGATCGGCAAGCTATTCACCACCGCGAAGCTTGCAAGCATCAGCTCAAGGCTGAGTCCTTCTCCCCATGCGAAAAGGCGATAAAGCCCCCAGACGAAAGCAAAGAGGTTTAGGAGAGACACTATGGTCAGGGGCAAGAAAAGAGAAGAAGGTCCGAAGTCAAAGATTTCTTGCTCGTAACGCTTCTTCTGCTCATCATCACCGTCGGCTTTACTGGTGACATTGAATCCAGGCGTGGAGAGATTTAGGGTTTTGAGAGTGAACTCTATCATACCAAAGAAGAATGAAGAGAGTCCTCTTATCAACCACATTCTTTGATCGTTCCACCATTTCCGACAAGTTCCTCCTTCCAACAAAAAATCTGTCAAGTCTTGCGCATATGCACCAAGGGACAAGAAGATGTAAAGCCAAAACCATTGATCTGATGGCTTGGGGAATACTCTAACCCCATATATTAGGGCAATCTGAGGTAAAACTCCATAAACGGTGAGAGGAATTGAGCAAAAGGGCCAAACCACATAGTAGCAATAGCTTAAGCCTGTAACAAGGCCCAATGATTTGAACCCATAGATGAATGGGCTATATGTTGAAAAGGCCATTTCAAGAAGACCAATGGACCATCGCATTTGTTGCCACACTACATCTGTTAAGCATCTTGGGGAACTTCCATAAAAAGCAGCTCTTTCTGGCCTACAAAACACTGATCTCCATCCTTCACAATGGAGCATGAAACCTGTGTAGTAGTCTTCTACCAATGACCCATATCTGAAACCAATCTGCATAGTTTTTCATGATAATTTTAAAATTTGGGCCGTGACATGAAGATACTAGCACACTATACAACTTACAAGTCATGGTCAACTAGATTAATGTTTATGATTATTGGTTTATTACCTTGGATCCCCAATTGGTGTTGTGCTCGTAGTTGCATCCAGCTACAACGTGTGCTAATGCCAAAACACTCTGGGCCGTAATGGGCTTATCTGCAATTCTAGTCGGCGCAAGTTCATCTAACTCAGGCAAAATCAAATTAGCCGGAGGCCCATAAAACACTCGCCGATTGAAAAAACACCCAGTGCCCACATGAATTGGGCCCATAAGCCCATCATATCCAACCATATTGATGGCAAAGGGATGTATGAGCTCTGATGCATAAATATCGTTTCTATTTATTCCTTGAAATCTCTGAGGAAATTGCACAAATCCTAAACCGGAAGTAATCTTGGGGTCTGACAAATAGCACAAAGCATGAAGAGGTGTTGTGGGATTGTTTGAGTACATGTCACAGTCTAGTGTTAGAATGATTGGTGAGTTTGTCATCACCGAAGATACTCGTAGCTACAAAGAAAATATAACATGTGGTTAACGAAAGATTAAACCGTAAGACTAGTTAACCAAACCGAAAACTGGTAAGAGATAGGGTTTAGTGGATACCAATGTATTAAGAGCACCGGCTTTGAAATGATGTGGTGAAGCTTTACTCTTCTCTCTTGATACATAGATTAGGTTTGGCATTATCTTTGAATCGTTATTTTGTAGCACCTACACAAGAATTATGTGAAAATGATATCTTATTGTAGAAACTTATTTTCAATATATATTTATTATATAATGCTAGTATTAAATGTCACCTTAACAATACTTGGATGGTCCTGAGGAGTGAACTTGTGGTCCCATAAATCGAAGACCTCACGAAGCTGATCATGATCAACTTTGCCAATATACACCACATGTTCTACTCTCTTCCTAACATCTTCATACATTGTCTGTTTCACCACAAATTGATTACGTTTTATGTCTATTTTTAGCTTAAAGTTTTGAGAAAAGGTGGAGCATAAAATTAGGCTATTGCTTAATCTAGTTATAAAAGCTAACAATTGCATAATAGAGATAGTAGTAAGCGAGAAGGAATTACATTATTATATACCCTTAGAAGAGAATTTTTTGTGAGAACTTCAAGTGGAGATGTTCTTATAACTAAAGAGTAATGAACTAATGATTTGGATGACCTCTTCTAGTTGAAAAGTCTTAAATTAGAGTAAATACTCTATACATTACTTCAAGTGGAGATGTTCTTATAACTAAAGAGTAATGAACTAATGATTTGGATGACCTCTTCTAGTTGAAAAGTCTTAAATTAGAGTAAATACTCTATACATTACTTCAGAGCGTACATACTTCATACTCCCTCTGTTTCATTATAAATGTCACTCTAAAACTGTGCACACGGATTAATGAAATAATTAATTTTACATATTTTCTATATAAAAACACAATTATCTAATCTAACCATATTTTAACCAATAGAAAAACTAAGTACATAATAAAATTAATAAATTTTGCCTTGAAAACCAAAAACGACACTTATTTTGTAACGCAAAAAATCACTTAATATGAAACAGAGGGAGTATATCACTTTGGAACTTCAGTTTTGGATATTCTAATAAATTTTTATAAACTAAAATAACTAATAAAATGAGTAATTTTAAGAAATTTTATTTGATTGAATTATGAGAGATTAGGCGATATGTAGATTATAATAATGAATAAAATAGTAAATACCTTAAGATCCTCAGCTTCCTCAGTCCAAGAACTTGACTTCGAGTAAAAATAAACTTCAGGAGAACGATCTTGAACATTATTCTTCTTACAAAAAGGCAACCAATGCTCAGAGAACTTAGCAGCCTCCATCAGAGCAAACAACGTCAATGAAGATCCTCCATCGTCCGACACATAGACCGTAATCTTATCAGACGGATAATCGTAAGCCATCACTGACAAGACCGTGTTGGCCACCATCATAGGAGGCTCCTTGTAAGGATCAGCTGTGCATATAAACACGTCTAGCTTCGGGAAGTGCTTTTCCGGTTTAGCAACATATTTTTCAGGGTACTCGGTTCGATGAACCGGGTTTAGCCGGAGGGACGTTGTGCTTGCCCACATGAAAGCGAGAACGGCGTCGGAGAGGAGGAGAAGAGATGTCAATAGAGCTGTGTGCTCTGTGAGAAGTGAACGTGCATGGTGGTACATGAGGGCTATGATACCACACGTGTGAACTACGGCGTAGATTCTGTATGGAATGGTGCGCCGGCACGGATGGCACGTGTGGAGCATCGTGGAGTGCTCACTAGTTTGAAGTTCCATTTTTGTAGTGAAAAGAAATGGTTTCCGAGAAATCATATATAGTGGCGAGTCTTAGAATAACTAAAAAACAAAAAGGGAGAAGATATTTTGTTTTTTTTTCAAATATTGTGTGTGGTGACTTTTTCAATGGAGAAATTAAGTTAAAATTCTCTAACTTGAAAATGGATGACTATAAGTCACTGCCTTGACTATTCTGCCTAAATCTTATCTTGTAATACAATTTTATATATGATTAGAGACAATTGAACTTCCATATCCACACACAACTATTAACCCAAAATAACAAAAAAAAAAAGACTTCCATAAAAGAATATTAATGTTCATAACTGTGTGTGTACGGAATCTTTTTTTTGTTATCAACACTGATATTGTGTGTTAGTATTGTTATTATCTGTTTAGTTTCAAACTTCAGTTTACACGTTTTTTTGTTGATCCAAGATACCTTAAAAAAAGATACCAAATTGTGAGAGATGGCAATCATATTATTCGCTACATAGATTCATCGCATTACCATTGCTTACTTCTAGTTTAACACAATCCATACATAATGCTTATGTTAAGCGAACTTACAAACCCTATTAGATACAGTTACTTGAAGACGAAGAAACCTGACACAATAATAAAACAAGCGAGGATTCCAACTAGCATACAAACATTTTTTGGTAAGTTTCCATCATCTTCCCTAAGCACCATAGCCATATAGATCGGCCAGCTATTCACCACCACAAAGCTTACCAGCATCAACTCAAGCACGAGTCCTTCACTCCAAACAAATATACCATAAATCTCATAGATTAGGGCAAGAAGATTGATGATCGCCACCATAGTGATGGGGAAGAACATGGTCGAAGAAGTCCTATAAAATCAAAGATCTCTTGCTCATATCGCTTACTCTGCTTCTCATCATCGTTGACTTTGCTAGTGATGTTGAATCCATGTGTAGAAAGGTTTAGAGTTTTAAGAGTGAACTCTATGAAGCCAAAAGTGAATGAAGACAATCCTCTAATCAGCCACATCCTTTGATCATTCCACCACCCGTGACAGGTTCCTCCTTCTAATACAAAATCTAATAGATCTTGCCCATATGCACCGAGGAACAAGAAGATGTAAAGCCAAAACCATGGATCCGAAGACTTGGGAAAGACGCTAACTCCATAAAGGAGAGCAAACTGAGGCAAAAATCCATAGATGAGAAGAGGAATTGACCAAAACGCCCAAAATGCATATTGACAATAGCCTATGCCCGTTAATAAGCCTGTTGATCTGACCCCATGCGTGATAGGGCTAAATCTCGACAAGGCAACCTCAAGAAGTCCAATAGTCCATCTTTGTTGTTGGCTCACAACATCAATTAGGCATTTTGGTGAATCTCCATAAAATGCTATTTTTGGAGGGTTGCAAAAGACTGATCTCCACCCTTCACAGTGGAGGGTATATCCTGTATAGTAGTCTTCTACTAGAGATCCATATCTGAATCCAATCTGCATATATAGTTTTAAATTATTATATAATATAAATAGCTAGTTAATAAAGAACTATATCATTATAAGTTTTAAATAATATAATATAAATAGCTAGTTATAACTAGTTCATGATATAGTGTTGTCACAAGCCACCACTGGGCTACATGTCCTAGTCAACTCACATAAACGTTTATATAGCATAGCATATAACCTATGTTGTAGTCTTCTACTTTTGACTCATATTTGAAACCTATCTATATAAGTTATGAAAAGTATATATCATGAAATCTGTGTACATATAACCTATGTTGTAGTCGTCTACCTTTGACTCGTATTTGAAACCTATTTGTATAGTTTTGAACAATATCATGAAATTTATGTACATAAACAAATAAAAATAATACATCATGAAGCTTGTAAAATCATTAACATCTAACCTTGGATCCCCAACTTGAGTTTCGCTCGTAGTTACATTCAGCTACATCGTGTGCCAATGCCAAAACATCTCGAGACTTAATAGGCTTCTCAGCCATCCAATTTGTTCCAAGCTCATCTATCTCTGGTAAAATCAAACTAGTCGGGGGTCCATAAAAAGCTCGTCGATTGAAGAAACACCCAGTGCCCGCGTAAGTTGGGCCCATAAGCCCATCAAACCCAACCATATTGATGACAAAGGAGCGTCTGAGCTCGGATGCATAAATATCGTTTTTGTTGAGTCCACGAAATTTCTGAGGAAATTGCACAAACCCTAAACGATAATTGATCTTAGGGTCTGACAAATAGCACAAAGCATGAAGCGGGGTTCTTGGATTGTTTGAGTACATGTCACAATCTAGCGTTAGAACTACTGGTGAGTTTGTCATCACCGAAGATACTCGTAACTACAACGAAAATAAACATGGGGTTAACGAGAGATTAACCGAAAACTGGTAAAAGATATGGGTTTAGTGGATACCAATGTATTAAGCGCACCGGCTTTGAAATGGTGTGGTGTAGATTTACTCTTCTCTCTTGATACATAGATTAGGTTTGGCATTATCTCTGTCTCGTTATTTTGTAGAACCTATACGTACCCACCAATTAAAATAAGATCTTGGTATATAGAAACGCTTCTTGTTCTCAAGAAAAACATTAAAGGCAAATTTATTGACACTACATACATTTTTTTTATGATACTACATACATATTCATAGCATAGTGATCTAGTATAGAAAAGTTAACGGAAATAAATTTGATTGATAAAATACCTTAATAATAGTAGGATGGTCATGACGAGTATCAACTTTGCTACTATGCACAACATGTTCTACTCTCTTCTTCATATCTTCATACATCGTCTGTTTCAACGTATAAAGATTATTTTGTAAATCTACGTTACTACGTACAATATTAACTTGTCATGCCTTAGTATAATAAAACATACATACCTTAAGATTCTCAGCTCCATCAGTCCAATACTGTGACTTTGATGAGAAATAAACTTCAGGGGACCGATCTTCAACATTATTTTTCTTGCAAAAAGTAAACCAATGCTCAGAGAACTTGGCAGCCTCCGTCAAAGCAAACAAAGTCAACGAAGATCCTCCATCGTCCGATACGTAGACCGATATCTTATCGGACGGATAATCGTAGGCCATCACTGACAGAGCCGTGTTCACCACCATCATTGGAGGCTCCTTGTACGGATCAGCCGTGCATATAAACACGTCTAGCTTTGGAAAGTCCTCCTTCCGTTTAACAACAACATATTTATCAGGATACTCGGTCCGGTGAACCGGGTTGAACCGGAGGCACGTTGTGGTGGCCCACATGAAAGCGAGAACGACGTCGGAGATGAGAAGAAGAGATGTAGTCATCAGAGTTGTGTCTGCTGTGGCGAGTGAGTGTGCATGGTGGTACATGAGGGATATGATGCCACACGTGTGAATTACGGCGTATGTTCTGTACGGAATAGTGCGCCGGCATGGATGACACGTGTGGAGGGCTGCCGATCGTTCCATCTTTAAGTATGATGGAGAAAACAAAAATGGTTTTGAAGAAAATACTGTATATATATATATAGTACTTAATAAATGGCGAGCATCCTTTAGGATAAATACTTGTTATGCTTCTTATATTGACATTTTCAATGGAGAAGTCAAGTTAAAATTCTCTATCTTGAAAAATATGAGAAAATGTTACAGATTAGTTGGGATCAAAGACTGGGTCTGCGAGAGTCACTAGCTGCCTTCACAGTTCACGTGACGCGCGCGTAGTTAACTTAACATCAATTATGGACAAACACGACACTTGCTTGCTTTCTTAACATTTACACAATAACACAATATAATCATGTACGTTGTAAATGTGTATAATACAATTAGGGCATCAATTCCACAATAAGAGTTTTCAAACATAATCTGTTAAACAAGAGCCAGTTTAAAATCCTTTATTTTATAGGAGACGTTGGTTACTCTAGTTAGACCATTCTTGTCCTTCACGACAAAATAGTACAGATAGACCTATAGATTTTGTATCTGTTATCAAACTAATAAAACTCTAAAAATACACAAACCACTAAACCACCCAAAATGATTGTGAATCTTATTTTGATATGGATGTTCAAATAACTGGGAATTACTATTGTATAAGAGTTTGTTCACTCCATCAACTCTTCTTATTCATTGTCTCATTGTTTGTTCTTCAGAAAGCTTTTGGTTCGTGTGTGAGTATGTCTACAGAGTACTAGTAACAAGCACCAGAAAAAGGAGAAAACGTGGTTGAAGTTCTGTTTTGACAACATATATATACATTGACACTCGCATGAAAATTAACAAAAAGACAAGGCTTAGACGAGACATGAGGATGATCCCTCTTAAATAATCCAAACATCTCCCCAGTTATTCACAATCTTATTGACTACTTCTCTGTTTGTTACATCGTCGTATCTCTTACACACACACACACACACACACAAGTTTCTAACAAGAAAAATAATTAGAACTTACAAAAGCCTACCTTGAAAAATAGAAGAAACCCATGAGCATTCTTTCTCCACAAGAAGCTTAAAAAACGAGAGACACTCTTTAAGCCTTTACTTTTGTTGTGACAAGACGTGGTTTCCAAGACAAAGCTGATAAGAATGAGACACAGAGAGTGTCAAGAAATTAGTTGGAATAGTTCTCTGTTTTGGAGATTGTTTTGTCAACTTCCGTTAACAGTATCCTGAGTTGATTCCCGGGAGTCATTTTCTTCACTTCTTCTTTTGACCATATAAATATCCTCTTCACCATGTTGCAGAACTCACTGCAACCACAACAATCCAACCATTTTTATTTCTCTATCAACAGTTAATTTTTGTAGTGGTTCTATTGAATAAGGAGAGTGTCACTTACGGCCATGGGTCATCACCGAGTAGCATCATATCTCCTTCATCATCTGTGAACACTATTTCCCATTGATTACGACTCTGCAACTCACCTTCTATGTCAAACAGCTTCTCAAGGTCGTCTATAAGCTCACTGTACCCATTTATTAGTGTTAAATCCACAGCCCTGCCCACTGGTACGCCTTGCATCTGCACCTGTGCTCATATACATTTGTATAGATTTAAGTATAATGAGAATGTCTATGCTTATATCTGCATAACATATGTTCATTACATACATACCTTGGTACGGCTTCTTGTCGAACTTATTTGCTTACTTTGAACCTCTTTTGGTGATGCCTGAGCAGGTTCCTCCTTTTTCTCCTCTGATAGTTTTGAAATATCAGAGGATTTTGGGTCTGCGTTGCTGTCCAGAGTCGGTTTAGCTATGTTTATTGGCCTTATGGATGCAGTTTTCTCCTCGGGAGGCCGTGGAGAGGAACTCATCAGATCAATTCCAAATAATCTACAACTAGCAGTAGTCTCAGGCTTCTTCTGCTCGGCTGAGAAAACCATCTGACCGTTGAGTGTTGAGTAAGGACTAACTGGCCAATCAGAATAATGCTGAGGAGAATTCCTCGTGATGCATGATTGTGAAAACTCATGGGATTGTGTCAATGCAGAACTCCAAAAGTTTGAAGTTGGTACGCCAACATCTAAACACATAATAAGTGAATGAGATTAGAAAAGCTAGGAAAATCTTGAGAGCTTAACATTAGATTGTGTCTTACCAAGTGCAGATACTTCGTTAACATGACGGGGTCTTTTCTTTATCACAACTGATTGGGGAACGTTTTCTGAAGTTACAAATGGCTCCATCTCCCATGGTGAAACCTTATCTGGTCTTGTAAACGATGCAGGTTCATCCCAATGAACCTACATAAAAAAAATGTAGTAGATTAGTGATTTTTACACTTCAAACAATGTTCAAGAAATAGCTAGGCGGTGGTTAGTCGCGTTATAGAAAAAATATTGTTTAAGCGGGCGTCTAGACAGATTTTTTTAGTTTGCGGACTAAGAGGTTAGACCGATTTTTAGAACACTCTAACGCAGTTATAAAAGGGGGGAAGTAATATTTACTTGCAAGCATCGCCATTTTGAGTCTTTCCAGTGAGGGGAGCAGTCTTGAACACCAACAACTGTGCCAGAAAATCTTCTCTCAGGGGAATCATCTCCCTCAAACCTCATCTTAAACCTCATCCCTACAGAGATTTTATTGTTCATGGCTTCCAGATATTTGTTCAAGCTAATGATGAATTGGCTTGTCCTGTTTTTTTTTTCGAAACCGAGACTAAAATCAATAAGCAAACCGTGGAAGAAAGAAACTCATCCTAGATGAATAATATGTAACTTTATACCTTGGTTTATAGTAAACGGTGAACATGCTCCGGGTTTGAGTAGCATGGTATGCAGTAGCAAGAACTCCAAGATGCATACTATGACTTGATATGACTGATGAAGGCATACTGCTCTGTTGATGACTACTAGCACGTCTGACTCCAACACGCAACTCTCCGTTCTCCCCTCTGGATAATGTTTTGGAAAAATTCAAATCCAAAAGAAAGAGAGCAGTGTGAAGTATATATATATATTATACCTGAGGAAAACAAAGGTGTCCCCAGCAACCAATCTCTTTGAGGTGACAAAGGTGCTCCATCCTGTAGTCAAAAGATGTCTCCGTGGTTGTCCTGTTTTTAAAAATAATTCAGGTAAAACAAACAAGATCAGTAATTGTGACATGGAGCCTCTCTCTATTGTCATAGTAAATGAATTTTCATCACCTCTAAAAATATGTTTAAACTTCCACTTATAACCATGCACATCTTCAGCTACCAACTCCTGGGTCGGAGTTTGCTCAGTCATATCCTAAATGATGAAATGAAATTAATATTTTTTTTCAAGTCCAACGTGAAGCCATATGGTAGTAAAGTAATTGCACAAATGGTGGTCCCTAGTTACCAGGGGAGGAAGGCATTCGTTGGCATGTTTCCTTAGAACAGAGAAGCCACCATGGGTGCTTGTATCAGATGCAGTTAAAACCTTGGTGAAAGAGTGAAACTTTGGCCTTTGGGACTCAGGACGTGAAGGATCAGGACTCATAGGCTCATCAACCTGATGCAGTTTAAAACATTTAGAGACTAGCAGTCATTAGATGTGAGAGAAGTTGAAAAGTGAATTAGTCACACTCACAGTTACTTCAGGCATCAACATAATCTGAGCATACACTTCATCCGTCTCTTTCTCAGCCTAACAACACCAAATGATCAATAAAATCAAAAACTTTCATTATAGTCAAAACAAGATCCCCAAGCTTGTAAGGTTCAATCTATTCAAATAATTGTCATTTCCTAAAACTGTTTCCTTAAATCTAGAAATTATAGCTAAACAGAGCCAACATAATCCAACATATGGCTAGTCAATGTCTACTATATATACCTGAAGACGAACGTTCATGACTCTGCATAGAATCTTAGGAGGAAGTTCGAAAAGCGGCTTCATAGTATTCAAGTCTTGTTGCGTTGACGCTTCAAGCTTAAGAAGAAAACAAAAACAAAATCAAAACCTCCACTAACAATAATAACAGAACATCGATCTATATAACAAGAGATTAAAAAAAACATAAAACTTACTTGTTCCATGTGACCTTGAGGGAAGTAATAAACTCTTTCCTCAGCTTGAGGAACATCAACGAGAGGTCCCGCACTTAGTTTCCATAACTCTTCATACATATTATCTCCTGTTTCCCACCAAAAAAAATTAAATGTTGCCGACCAAAACTAAACAAAAAAAACAAAAACTCATACGAAAACATACCTATCGTCATCACCTCTCTAGCTTTCTTTCTAACCAAGTCAATGCTTGAATAAATCTTCTTCTCTGAAACAGAACACACACACACACTTAGAAGAAGAGTGGCTCTAAATGAGAATTTAATTGTAGAAAAGCCACGAGCCTTGGATTCAGTGCTCTCTCTCTCTCTCTAAATCGTAACGCAACGAAAATCACCAATCGTGATCTATCTGTAACTGTAATCTCTCTCTTAGTAACAAGGCCGTTACAAAAAAAAAAGGAGGGAATGAATCTTACAGTCGCTCAAAAACCCCGTTGAGGAAGCGCGTCTTCTGTTTCAACGTCTCACACACCCTTCGTTGCTGCTTTTATTACCGTTTCTTTCTCCCTATTCTCATTTTTTTATTATTTACTTTTTAATTGTATTATGTCTAAAATATTTGGATTCCATTGCACATATAATTGCTGGATTAGCCAACTTTTAATCTGTTTATTAGTTACACATGTTTTGATGTCAGTATATGGATTTATAATTCCATATAAAATTATACAAATGAATAGAAAAATGTTTATACAAGTAAAATTGTCAGACATTAGTTTCATAAAACGTTTAATTTCATAAAGACACAAAGTCAGACATTAGTTTCATTTTAGAGTGGTGGAGTGAAACTTAAATTCTCGTAAAATAGGTGAAAAGACGATTATAGGATATAATATTTTCATAATCTGTAATATTATAATTGTTAGAAATGGTAATATCTAAAATATATATTTTTATTTAATTCAGTACTTTAGAGCAACCCCATAGGTCAACATCTTAACAAGATTTTCCTAGTAATACAGCATTATTTTGTTTCTAAAATGGTAAAATTATGTTATTAAAGTTTAATATTATTTAGAAAAAAATGATCTTTTGTTTTCTGCCATGTGCTCCTAACATTATCTATTGAATTTCTAACAAGTTGGTAGAAATACGTTGACAATTTTTTTTTTTTTACTCTCTCGATTTTATATTAAGTATTATTGTAGAAAAAAAATTGTTACAAAATAAATGTTATTTTTAATTTTTAATATAAAATTTATTAATTTTATATTATAATTTATTTTTTTTGTTAATGGAAATATAGCTAATTAAATGTATAGTTAATTATATTTTTATATAATAAATATATGAAATTAATTATTTTTTAATCCTTTTGTATAAAGTTAAATAAAATTTTAATATGAAATAGATGAAGTACTTTCTAGTTTATTTTATTATTTTACTGACCGGAATATTCTCTCAGATCCAACCTATGGAATTGGCCTTAGTAAATAATTAAGGCAGACTTTATAGGTAACTCATTAATTATACATGTATTTTTTACTTTCCTGAACGTACAATAAACAATTTGCGTTCGTGGATGAAAAACATTAATTACTGGATAAGTCACAAATGTGTTGCGTTTAAAAAGGCTAGTACGGAGCGTGAAGGACCGTGCCGTTACGGTAACGAAAGCCGGTCAGAAGATGGTTCAACAGCCGTCATATTTAACATTCCGTCACTTTCGCTGTCTGCTCCATTGCCAGGCAACAAGACCGGCTAGAGTTGGATAGGCTTTGACCTCGTACTTTAGATAAATTACCTTTTGTACCACTAGTTGGGACCACCATACGTACGCACGTGGGAGGTGTTTTCGATCTCTAATTTTTCTTCTTTTTTTTTCTCACGGTTTATTAATCAAATTACAAGTAGTGTTCAAAAAAAAAAAAAATCAAATTACAAGTCATATTGGTACACGCGTCAGATGCGGGATGTTTTAAATAATTTGTTTACTTTTCAAGGCTTTTTTTGAAGCCTTTTTCTCTCACTCCATAATTTACTAACATTTTTTAATTACTTTAAAAATCTTATAAATCGTTATATTTACATACAGTTTTTTAATTGTTAGTGTAGTGGTACTTTAAGCCATGCATATCCTCATCTTCGCATATGGGAGTTCCATCATAAATATAGAAAGATTAGTGGCATTAGAGGATTAACTACCATCTAACTCTGATCTCTAGTAGTCAATAATTATGGACGAGAGATATGAATCAATACTTTTTTTTCCTGGAGGGATCGTTTATTCTAGTGTTTAATATTGTAAACTCGCAAATATTCACTTGAATACAATCTTTGGCAGGTAGCTTTATTTCCTAAACATTTACACAATATCTAGTATTGTATTGCATGGATTTTCCGTTTTCGTATAATCTAAGTAACTAATCTTTAGACGATGATTAAATTTTAATTTCTTTCAACAAAACGAATATCTGCTGTAGTCATTCATTCATTGCGCAATGAATAATGCCAAACTGTATAAAATAAGTGGAGTATAAGTGACAAATCAGAAAGATGAAAAGTCTATACTCCATGGTCCATCTTTTAATTTACCAATAAGTTAATTACTTTAATCGCTTAGTTCTGTTTTATTAATGATTTAAATATTACTAAATATGGCAAGATACGTCATCCATGACATATTTTGACAACTCTTGTTCCCGTTAAGGATATAAATAAGCAAGATGCTTCAACGCCACTAATACCACCATCTCCGGATTTTACATTTTGTATTTTAGACACTCCTTTTTGGATAAAAAAGACTCTTATTCTATATTTTTAATTATATCTTGGTATCTTGTCCCCGTATATTCTTAGAGCCTATTCAAACAAATCTTTAAATTAGTAAGCAAATATAACTCCCAGATGTTTGGTTTCAATTGAGCTCAATTTATTTAATGAGTTTTAGTTCAATTTTGGTAGTTCTGTAGATTTATATAAGGTGAATTCCATCATTCATCTATTTTGAAACGAACTTTGATTTTGACACAATAAATCAAACGATATAGTACAGAGCATGCCACTTATTCAAAGCCTTGACGACTTCAATTGATCTTGTCTTTTGCAAGAAACGCGCCTTTAGATTAATTTCGGGGAAAATGAGAAGTACATATCATTGTCGTGTTTTTCTTTGTCTTCAATTTCATCAACATTGATTTTGATGAATCATCGTCTAATTTCTTGAACATTAAGTCAATGAATCTTCTGAGAAAAGAAGGAAAGGTCCCCTACCTCCTTGATGGCATATTCTCTCAATTTGATCTCTATATATAAAAAAACAAGTAGCAGAAAACGACTCATGTTTGGTCACAGAGCTGGAAGCATGGAATATGCTCAAATAAATAATTTCATCTTATATTTCCGAATGTTTTTTGTGAGAATCAGGGAACAACGGAGCAGGAGTTAAAAAGAAATTGATTCCTTAAAATTATAACTTTAGCATGTAGTTTGTCTGAATTTTTGCTACCATGATGTGTTCAATATGCTTGACTAATGATGATTTTTATTTTTCATATGGTTCTTCCTGGGCTTGTACATTGTTAATAACTTTGTACTCATTGCTCAAATATTAGTAACCAAAATTAGACAAAAAATTTGTCTTTGCGACTATTTATATTTGCTTAAAATAACTTCATCGTGGTATTTATACAAATTTACAGTAGTATGTGTTTTGGACGAAATTTGGATATTATATTTCTTAGAATGACTATGAAGTTGTATGTTAAATTAACTCCTTTTAGAAGAACATATCATTAACTCTTTAGATACTTATTAGATGATCCAAAAGTAATAGCCACTAACCAATTCTTCGTTGATGAAATTTTGGATTTTTAAGTTACTGATTTGGACAAATTATTTCTCTGGAAACCTTTAGCTATGGTATGAAGGATTCAAGAGCTGTTTCTCAGATCTTTGGGAGCTAATATATGTGAGAAATAGCGAGTTGCAAGTTTCTCCTACAACGGTGTGTTCACTGTGTTGGGCTAATATTACCGCCGGCTATTCCCAGACCTATAAAGAAATTAGGGCATGATTTAAACTCCTATTTAAAAAAAAAAAATATCTCTGTACATAGGTTAGGTGTCCATGTCTCATTACGTGACTCATAGTTTTTAGAATATGTGCACTCCATACACATACAAAACCTCATAATTAACTATATACCATAAATCTCACCTAATGGTACATTTGTTCATAGACACTAACAAGTCCCATGAAAAGTATTTTTCTAATTTCACACTTTGTATAAAGCTTAATTTAATATCATTATATATATATATATATGTGTGTGTGTGTGTGATCAAATATAAGATGCTTATTATGTTTTATGTATTTGAGTTTGATACTTCACTTTTAATAAAATCTTAGCATTTTATTAATTTAGTTATATTTTACTCTTGATGGGATTGGTTGGTGTCTATGAACAAAGGTACCATTAGGTGAAATTTAGAGTATATAGTTAATTATGAGGTTTTGTATGTGTATGAAATGCAAATACTCTTATACTTTTATTTGCATTAATTGATTATCAAAATAAATATATCACATATACAGTAAAATACATATTTTTTGTATATATATAATGATTTTAAATAAATATAAATAACGAGAAACAATAATAATATAAACATTACTTAGTTGATGCCAAATTTACAATATTATCTTAATCAAGTTTTAAATAAAATTTAATTATTAGGTTGATCAAATGACATAATACATATTTAATTTTATAAAAGAAAGTAATAAATTAAATCAATAATAAATTTAAAAGATACTTACATTAAAAATTTAAAAGTATACAAACCATTTGAAACAACTCAAGTATGAGCTTAAAATTTCATTCTCTATTATTAAGAAAACATTACATATAAATTAATTAATGAACACAATTAAAGAATAAACTAGTTTGTTTAAATTACAAAATATTAAAATAAATATTAATAAATGTGAGGGGGGGGGGGTAAGTGAATATATTAGCGGAATTCGAACCTAGTTTGTTATTTTTATCAGATACACAAAGGTTAAAAATGTTCATATGGTTTTATAAATTTTAACAAATTAATTATATATGGCATGCATGTGCTCGCACAAAAGGAATGAATAATAGTAGGGTTCGTACTTAAAGTATACACATAAAAGGAAAGAGGACGACACTGGGACGAATGATTAGGTTTAAATATCAATAATAAATTATTTGAATGTAAAATGAAAGTTAAATTATATTCCCTCTATTTCATAAGTATCACTTTAGATTTTTAATTTTGTTTCAAAAATGTCATTTTACAGTTCCAGTGTAACTTTGTATATTAAATCCATTTTTTACCCTTTTGAATAACTAATAGTATTTTATTAAAATTATTTTTATTTAATTAAATAATATTAAATAAAGATATATTAGTCTATTATACAACTTTCATAATTTATGTGCAACATATCAAAGTTACACTTATTTAAAAACAAAAGGAGTACTATAAATAATGAAATGATACAAAAAGAAATATTGCCAATCAAAATAAGAATTTGTGTAAATGATCGTCTTTACACTAGTCATTATTGTGCGACAATGGTTGGATATAGAATTTTGTATAAGTGGCTTTATTGCTTGACACCTGTTGTTTAATGTTATGGACTGTACTGTATCTTTACATTCTTACGTATATGCTCGCGTCGTGATGCCGTGTGTGAGTATTTTCGTAACTTATGTTATTCAATTAAAGTTTCCCTTACCCCACTCCTAAGAGCCAAGGGTCACATTTTCCGATCATTAAATGACTAAATCTTAGTTGAATTTCATATTGGTAATGGTATTGTAGTTGAACAAGTAAGAGCTCCGTGAAATGTTTAGTAGTTTATTTATTTCTGAATTAAATGTCGTAATTAGTAAAAATACGATTCTAATATGCGTATAAGAACTAGAATAAGATATAAACAGTAATATAAAAGTTGTATACGTGTGACCAACAACACTCTACCGATAGCTACATTTATATGGTGAAGTGAAACACTCCGAAGTATAATTTATACATTGTTTTTCTCAAGGGCGGAGGCATGTAAAGGGCAGGCAGGACCGCAAGAAGGGTCAGCTAACCTCAGCCAAATGTAATTACATATGTCATTAAAATATATTTATTATTTTGATCATTTGAAGTTATTCACAATATCGTACGAGCAAAACAGAAATATATGAAATATTATGTTGATTATATAAATCTTTTGAACCCCCTAGAAGTTAATGCCATCGCACAAAGTGAAATCCACTGACCAAGGAGTAGACGTGAAAAAACATTAGCATGGATATTATGGGAGTTGCAATATGAAGATTGTTTTGGTTAAGAAGAGATAAATGGGGTTTTGATAACAACAACAAAAAAAAAACGAGATAAAGGTATATAACACCTAAATAACACCATCTTAAGAAGTCATCACTTACCATCTTAGAACACCTAAATATAACTTATTAATTAGAAAAAAAAACGTATTACTTTAACGATCAACTTTTCACCCATTTTGTTCTACAGCCAGTGTAAATCAAGTCACCGTCCAGTGTTTTCAAAAACCTTGAAAAGTATGTAACTTTCAAGCATGCTAGAAACAGCTTAGCAGACAAAAGTTACTAGAGAATTTTCGCATGTTATGAATAAAAAAGGCTGTTATGGTTCTTTCAGTAAAACAAAGTGTTAACAACCATGATGCATGTAATTTTTTTTTTTGTAAATCATTTATCTAACCATTATGGAGTACATATCAAATGTTATAAAGTTATCCGATCCTAATATAATGGTGATGTAACATAATATAAGAAAATGAAGAAGAAATTCGGCAAACAAATTTTAACATAAACTAAGTAATTTTATAGCCAAGTTGAGTTACCAACTTTTATGAAAAATGTATTGTAAATTGGAATGGGAGGGACCATATTTGATTAAGGTTGTGATTGGGGATTAGACTGTGAAGACTTTCAAAGTTTTAGAATGAACTAAAATTTCTAAAGCCAATAAATTTACCAATCATGTTTTGCTTTCTTAAAATTACTCAAATTTTCTAAAATTACTTAAAGTCCAACTTCTCTTTTGTTTTCCACATTCATTTACTGTTTTTAAAAGCTTCAATCCAAGGTTTTACAAAAATAATTTATTTTTAAAAAGTCACAGTCACAAAAGCAACAACCAAACATTTTCTGAAATCATTATTTTAAAAGTCTTAACAGTAACAACCCTAAACAATCACAGCCTAAAGCAGCCGGAGAAATAAACTTATACTTAAAATGTTATTGGTCGTGCTCTTCTTTGTTTTAATTAGTAAACTAATAGGTATATTGGTTTTTTATTGGACGGAATACAATACAAAACTTCCGGAATAAGTGGGATTTTTGATCCTCATGGTTCCCACAAATGATGTTGACTTATTTGACGTACTATGTGAGATTCCCTTAGCCGTAGGATCTTTGAGTTAGCCGTAGGCCCAACTCGCGGAATCCCATCGTCCTGGATCTGTTGGCAATTACAAAAACGCCATTGCTCAAGGCAATATCACTTTATTGGTTTAACGACTTTTAAGGTTAAAAAGAAGGTTAGCATTTGGCTCCTAAATCTCATTAACAACACGACTTATAATGATGATTCGTCCTCAGTGTCGTGTGAGAGAAGTATTGCTAACTTTTGGCTGTTGCCAATTTAACTATAGTCAAATTTAAAAGTATAGCCTTTTTTTCTCTCGATTTTCGTTTTACATCAAGAAAAAAGAAAATTGTGATATAGAATAACTATTCTAAATATTTTATATTACTGTTTTCCATTTTTCATACTATTAAGACAATGCATTAAATTTTCATAATATATTATTTATGTTTTTTTGTCGGCTAATATATTATTTATGTGATTAGCAATTTTTAATAATAGTAAACTAATAACAATTCGATAAACCCAATTATTTTAAATACTTTTATTTATTATTAAGTAATAAAACATCATATAAAATAGAAAAAAAAACATGTGTTGTTTTTTCTCTAAATATATATCTTACAAAGAAAGGACTCAGAGATAACAACTTTAAAATAAATGATCATGCATGCATAATTTGTTTTTGTTCAAGCATGCATTAAATTAATGAATGTATGCATGCATAAAATAATGGATAAAATTTCATCAATAAAAGAAATTATAGGAGTATATCATAAGAAATTTATCAACTCGTCATATATGAAAAGAAAATAAAGGCACCTTAAAACCAAACCTATGGTGGTTCAAGTTCATTTTACAATTTACACTGAACTTATTTGGCACCTTAAAACCAAACCTATGGTGGTTCAAGTTCATTTTACAATTTACACTGAACTTATTTATTACAGTACTTCCAAAAGGATCAATTTATTTTAAAAGGGTTCCGGCTCAATGGTGGAGCATTTGACTGCAGATCAAGATCTCACCAATTTAAACTCGGCTACACTTTAATTTAAATTCTCAAAATTGTTTTGTAAAAAGACAACCCTACCTTCTTACGGTGCATTGATTAGGTTATGGTATTCAAACTTGAATTGTTTTGTTGTTTGTTAATATATTTGTTTTTGTAGGTGAAGTATTGTTTTGATCATTTTCTATCCACTACTAGAACATGTTTTAGACATTGTTAAACGTCCGCAGAAAAGTTGTGTAGATTCAGAAATGTAGACCCGAATCAAAGGCAGCAATACCGTAGCCATCAAGTTCTAAACCCTCTAAATCAGAAAACAAAAGGAATTGAACTGATGAAACTTCTTTTTCTAATTTATTATCAATGAAACTTCCCTATAGTTTCCTAATCCTAAGGGCTAGAATACTTGAATAGCATTATAGCAAGGCAGTGTTAAAAAAGAAAAACCTAAGGCTGACTCCTAAACTAACTAAGAGAGTAAAGTTATAAAAATCATGATGCTGCTGCTAAGGAGTATCATGATCCAACCGCTATCTGGCCATAGAGATCCCATTTTATCCGTAAAAGACAGAAACGCCCAGAGTCGCCTTGAGAGCAACCGTATCGTTGCTAAGAACACGAGAAAGAGACTTATCAACAGAACTCCAAGCTCTTTGCTCTCTAGATTTGCTTGCTCTCTCTCAATCTTCTCTACATCCAATCTGTTTCCAAGTAACAAGGAAACAAATTCAACTAAGAAAAACGTCTAAGAGTCATAAGCACAAAAGAGAGTACTGACCTCAATGCATAGTTTCCTCTAGCTAACGATTCTACACGTGAAACTACAAGAGTTTTCCATAGCTCTAAGTCTCTAAGCTCCTTCTCCTGCATAAAGAATATAAAATTCATTAAATGACAAAAGATTTCAAATCATAATAAGGCCTACAAAAAGAGGAAGTGAACAGAGCTTACCATTTTCTCTTTCCACTCTGTGATCTCTCTGATCTCAGCTTTGCTTTTCTCAACAAGCATAAGAGTTCTCTTCATCTCAAAGCTAACCTCTGTTTCCTTGTCATTCATTCCCTTCACAGAGTCTTCAAGAACAGATAAATTCATTTCAATCAATTTCACTTTCTGCATCAACAACTTCAAAACGTTATGCTTCTCCCTAACTTCATATTTCTTGTCTCCCACGATATTAATCGTCTTCACAACAACATCTTTCTTCTTCTGAGCATCAACAATCTGATCCGTGACATTGTTTTTCACTTCCCCTTCTTGTTTCTCATCAGCGGTTTTCTCTTCATGATTCAGTTCAAGCTTAGCTGGTTTACTAGGAAGAGTCTCAGACGCAACAAACAGATCTTCAACCATCTGCTCAAGAGCATCGATGCCAAAGACCTCCACAACACTCAAGGTACAGTAAAACTCAGACCCGTAGTGACTAATCAAGTTCAGTTTAAGATATCTCAACCATTTAGGTTCCGAGAGACGAAATGTCTGAACCTGTTTAGCATTTGCAGCCACGAATCTCCCTGCATGAGTCCACGTCTCCGTTGGATAACTCAAGCTTCCAGACAAGCTAAACTCTTTGAGATTGGAAGAGTAATGCTCAAAATTTGCAACTCTCACCGTGTCAACAAGCGTCTCCTCAGCGAGTTCAATCACCACATACTTATTTGAGACAGAACAAGGGTTTCTTAGATACTTGTCATGATCTTTGCCAAGCACATTGCTAGCACCTTTAGCTTCCTTGTTTTGATCCACTACTTTTGCTCCCTTCATAGCAGAAGCGTAGTTATACCCGGTTCCATCAGGTTCTAACCTGTAATGGGTCGCATTCGAAAGTTGTGATTGCGCACCAGAGCCATTTACTACAAGACTTTTGTCTTCCACACGAGCAAGGGTCTTGTGCTTTCCTCTTCCTCCTGGTAGGGCAACTTTGCAGATAAGCAAAGCGTTGTTACTAAGAACATGCTCATACACATCTTGTAACTGGCCTTTTCTCAGGACACAATAGTTGTGTTCTTTCCCAGTTGCCTGAGAGGAGCTCGTGGAATTTAGGACCTTGGAGAGTGATCCATCAGCAGTGTAGTTATCTACAAAAGAAATTGGTTTCTTCAGAGATTGGAATGAAAAGGGATCAAAATCAATTAATAGCAATCTCTGGAATATAACCTAAGTTCACAAGATTTCTAAATCTCTTTGTTTTCCACATCTTACTATTTCCCTACCATACAATGATAAAACTCTATAGATTAAACTTTCCTTAATTAACACCTGAGCATGATTATTGCATCTCTCTCAGGAAACACATTTTGTAGTAAAGACGAGACAAGCCCATCAAATTAAAGGGATAAATATTTACCTCCATGATTATGGCTATGGCCAAGCTTGCAATACACCAAGAAGAGGAAACACCAGAGTAAGAGAACCAGAGAGATAGAACGCTCAAAGAAGCTGCCTCTTCTAGAATTAGTCTCAGACTTTTGGGAAAATCTGACAATCCGAAACTTGAAACCGTGGTTTTGCCTCTCATTCAGACATATCGTCGAACAACTTCCGCGCCTCGCCATCTCCTAGCAGAGCAGAGATGGAGAGATGAGAGATCGTTGGTTTTATTGTTATGACCTGTACCTGGAGAAAAACGGAGAAGAGGGCACGAGGTAGAATGAGAGAAGACATGCATTGGTGTGTGGTCTGAAATAGAAACCTAACATTTGTCCGTCGACAAAACCATTTTCTTCGGAATTATAATTTTATTTTTTAATTCCTAACGGTCCGAAACTTCAGAGATTGAGAATCAAAAAAGTTACAAAGAATAATTGGTTTGACATAACCGGAATCATATTGAAGCATTGACATCGGCAGAGTGGTTAACGAGAACAAACTCATCGGATTCACGCCGGAGATGCTCAGGGACAAAAGGAAGAGTTCCCGGATTCTGCTCTTGTAAGAGAGAATTTAACGGTGTCTCAGGAGGGTATTTGTCAAGTATGAAATCTATTGCTTCTCCACTTATCTCTCTCTGGTTCAATAGAACCTTCACGGTTTTGAGAAGAGCGGTTTGGTTCTGCTTGAGGAGAGCAACGGTTTTGTTATACATTTCGCTAATGAGTTCTTCACTTCTCTCTGCAACTTCATCATCCATGTTGAAGTTAATGGGCGGTTCAACGAGGTCGTAGTCGTCATAGAGAGATCCTTCGAAGTCTAAGCGTGGTCCCACGAACTGAGCCCTCTTTCTCCATGGTGGTGGTTCGCCGTGTATCACCATTGGGTTCTCCAAGTTCCATCTGATACCAAAATTTTTAAGTCTTAGGTAGATGAAACTAAGAGAATGTGATAATGTGCAAAACTGGGCTTACATGGTTAAGATTTTACGAGCAAGCCATGAAGCATCTGAGAGATAATCTACTGATGCCTTTGAAGTATCTGATCCGTAGATCACTTCTTCTGCAGCTCTTGCTCCGAGCAAGACCTTTTATCAGAGAACAGTAAAACTCAATGCCTAGGCATTTTCTAATCAAACAAAATGAAAGAATAGTTTTTAATAGAGACAAATAAAATTACCTGAAGACGATGAAGCAATTGTGGACGACGACCAAACATGTAGGATTCATCGTCAAGCCGATGAAACACAACTTGAGACAATGTCTGGCCACGAGGGATGATGGAGATTCGATCGCACCGCTCAATCTTTGCATTCTCGTACCGCAATAAGAGATGTGAAGTGATTGCAACTCCAACTTCCGTTGTGGCTCTACGGCACTGACCTTGATGTCCCAATTCTAAACCGATACGTGTCGGACCAACAGTGAGTCGGTCAACAGCGTCGTCCATGTCTGATTGAAGAATCGAGTTATGCGTTTTTCTGACTGCGACAAGAGCAGCTTCTTGAACCAACTGTGCCAGTTTTGCTCCGGACCATCCTGTATTTGATATAAAGCATTACTCAGATCAAAATTTCATACGAAGCAAACAAACACGTTCTCTGTGGTAAAAGGGAAACCATGAGCAAAACAAAACATCTCTCTAACATCAGTTTGTAGATATTATACCTGGTAAGTTACTTGCATACGATGACAAGTCAACAGACTCTGACATCTTGACTTTGCCGGCGTGAATCTTCAGTATATCCAATCTCCCTTTGGCATTAGGGGGACGGATTCTGATCTGATAACATAAAAATAAAAGGGCTTGTCAGTGTGGTTTAGTGAATCACTGATTCGGAAGAACTTTTGCCTACTTTTTCTTAAATCAACAAACCTTTCGATCAAATCGACCTGGACGTAAAAGAGCAGGATCTAACAAGTCTCTGCGATTGGTGGCACCCAAGAAAATGACACCTTTGCCAGTGTCAAAACCATCAAGCTCGATGAGTAGCTGGTTCAATGTGGTTTCTCTTTCTTGAGTGGCTGCATTGTACGACTGGTCTGAGTTTTCCTTAAAAATCCCTTGACGTCTAGCAAATACCAAAATGTTAGTTAAACATTATCTCAAGTTGAAAGGCCGTAAATATATCAAAAATATGGATAAGAAGGAAATGTCGTGTATACCGAGTTGCTAAGGCATCAATTTCATCGATGAAAATAACGGACGGCTTGTTTACCTGCACAAGGATATAGATAAATTCAGATACAATTGAACAACTCTGCACAGAAGTGCATAAAATATGCATCTGTCCAATTACCTTGGCTCTTTTGAACAGATCTCTGATACGAGCTGAACCAACCCCGACAAGAACTTCAACGAATTCAGATCCTGCCATTTGGTAAAACGGCACACCAGCTTCCCCCGCAATAGCTTTCGCAACGAGTGTCTACGCAAGACATCAAGTTAGGTTCAGCTATACATGGCTAGCGACTGGTATGTTATAACTTATAACTTGATCGAAGCATCTTAACATTCAAAACTTATTCAGGCAAGTTTTAGGTTTCAGTAGTATAACTGATGATAGGTCGTTCTAGCATTAGTGAAAAATTATGAAATTGTCAAACACTCAACATACTCTGCAATCCAACCATCAACCTCAGTAGAAGTTGACCTCAAACAGTTACAGATGCAAATTGGACTATAACGTTTTTGTAAAATACGTCTTAGCATACAAACATATCATGCTTTTAGATTGGTATTAAGTATTAGCATACCTTTCCACAACCCGGGGGACCCTCCAGAAGAACTCCATGAGGAGGTTTTATTCCCATTTTATCGAACAGGTCCGGATTCTTCAAGTACTTTACAAGCTATCAAGAATATGTAACAACCATAATGACAACAAGAGGTTAGTAATCTTTAGTTCCTGGCTTCTCTCGAGGTTCCAAGATATAAAGAAAAAAATGCCATGAAACTTGGTACTTGATGGTGTATAGACTATACACCAAACCGAAATATAAAGGGAAATCGTAAGGGTTTAGAGGCTAACCACTCCAAACCCAAATATAAAGGGAAATCTAACTTAATGCTAACAAAGGAAGATATCCATACACAGTGAAGAACTGACGCAGGTATAACAAATGAACGGAAATCAAACACAATTAGCAACTGCATATGCTATGCATTATGATGAACAACCATCTTGCATAGACAAATTATCAGTTTTTTATATGAATGTTCATGACTTTAAAAGATAAAATACAAATGCATATGATAACATCAAATACTCTACTAATGTTTTCAATTTAAAAGTACTAAACTAGTAATTTGGTCAGGAGTTACCTCTTGAAGTTCGTCAACTGCTTCATCAATCCCTGCAACATCACCGAATTTAACGCCGGTTGAACCCTGAAAAATAATGGACTCGTTGTCATCAAAAACTCAACCATGGAAGCATATAGGAGTAAAGCTCAGAAACTTACGTCAACACGAGCTTCTGCTTTAGACTGAGAAAAAGCAATCCCTTGCCATAAATCCTGCAAAAAAAAACAGAAGTTGGAAGTGATTGAGAGCAAAACTAACATAACTGAAAACATGTTAAAGGATGAATTACAAGATTACAAATATTATACCCATTTCCTAAAGTTCTTTGGTCTCCGTGACAGTGTGAAACGAACAAGAAGAACCATAGTCATGACAACGAGTAAGATCGGTTTGAGCATCTGAATGCTTGAAGACATACCACCAAATGTGTAGAAATCAGAAATCCTTGAGAAGATCCCCCCATCAGCGAGTACATCAACAAGGTACTCCCATGAGCTTTCAATAGCACCGACGAAGATGCCCAAAAACAGTTTAAGGAATGGCTTTACTACAGGCCAAACAACATAAACTGTGGTGACAAACGCGAAACTAGTGACTGCAAACACAGCGGAAGCTAAAAACCCTCCAACAACGGCTGCAGCCGCCGCAATAACTGCTGTCACCATTCCCAGCTCAACCATCACTCTACTCGAAATCGAAGACGCAACCGGGTTTGGATAGTCCGTCACTTTCCCAACCCAAGACTACAAATAAACATTAATAACAACAAATCAATAACAATTACTCAACCTCTATATACACGGATAAATCTAAAGAGTGATCACCGTCATCATGTGTCTTTCAACTTCGTACTGTGGACCACTATACTCTTTAAGAAGAGCTTGAGCTTCTCCAACTTCAAGCTTCATTGACCTAATAAAAAGAACCATAACCAATAAGAAACCAACATCAACCCTCTGAATCCATCAAAAAAGGAATCTTAAAATTCACCATTTGGTTCTCTGTAAGCTCTTAACACCAGGAATCTCCTTAAGATCAACAATAAACTCCCTATATCCGCTAACACCAGAAGCCTCTTCCTTTGAAGTAAGTAGCTTAACCTTATCATTCTCCATAGCTTTTCTAAAATCTTCCAAACTAATCTTAGGTAACTCCTTCACATTCCTCTCAAACTCTTCTTCCTCTGATAACTCTTGCCCAAAGACTTGCTCGGGGACATAGAGCTTCCCTTTGTATTCCCTCAGAATATCACTCAAGTAAACAGACTCATTCACAACTTCTCCTTCACCTCTCTCTTTCTCTTTCTCATTCTTCCTTTTGGTGAACTCTTTGCTTAAACCCTCTCTCTCCTTGGGGTTATAGAGCTTCCCATTGACTCTGTAACGAGGCTCCACCTGGCTAGGGTTCTCCTTCAAAACCCTAGTCACGAAATCATCGCCTCCTGCTGGATTATTCGACTCGCTGGGTTTCAATTCGGAGAGAATTGTGAACGAGCGACGCAAGATTGGAGCTCTCCATCGAGTTTTGGAAGCAGTCGCGTGTTTCCAGATCGATTTCTTGTGGTTTTCTCGGAAGCGAGTGCCGAGGGAGAAGAAGACTGTGTTTACAGAAGCCATTCCACAGTGTACTATCTCGCCTTCATCATGTTTTATCCGGTCCGACTCCAAAACCGGATTTTTATTCCGGGTTAAAACGGACCCGACTACGCCACGTCACTTTTATCTTGACTTACGTGAATGTAAAGTTATCCCTATGGCCAAACAAGTATCATTTTGCTTTATACATGCATAGGACTGGGCAAAATATCTGCACTCGAATAACCGATCCGAAATCGATCCGAAAATCAGGAACCAAGACCGATCCGAGTCGGGATAAATAATCGAATGGATAAATTACTATATCCAAAGAACCGGTTCTAAATCTGACCCGAACCAAAAAACAAGCAAGTATAAGAAATGTAAATATATATCTGAAAATGTTATTTATAATTATACTGATAATTATTTTAGTAACTTAAAATTATTAATTTATTTTTTAGTTATTTTGGTATTTTTAAATAAAATATGATATTTTTGATAAAGAATACTCAAACAAAATCGTGGTGAACTAATATTTTCGATTATTTCTAGGTAAAATAGGTAGTTTAAATACAAAATATTAAAATCAAATCGGATACTATAGTTATTTTAGCTATAAATAATCAAACCCGTTTCAGATACATTAATTATTTGGTTATTTTCTTATACTTTAGAATTAAACCCACCCGAACTTAGGAAGACTCGAGTGGAACCTTACTCAAAAATTTATAATGATCCTGAATTCAAAACCCCTAAAAACTGATATTTGAAAGAACCAATACTTACCCGAACGGATACCCGAATACCTAAGCCTATACACGCAGCTTGTGCTTTTTAAAGTTTAAAGACTCTTAATACCCACCGGGGAACAGTTAAAAGATTGCTACCAAACATCTCTCCTTCTGAGAGATGGCGAACCTCGCTTCATGCGCAGTCGCCGCTATCTTCATCGTCTTCGCCATCATAACCGCCGTCACCGTTTACCTAACCGTCTTCAGACCGAGAGATCCCGAGATCTCCGTCACGAACGTCAAAGTCCCGTCTTTCTCCGTAGCCAACAGCTCCGTTAGCTTCACTTACTCTCAACTCTCCTCCGTTAGAAACCCTAACCGCGCGGCTTTCTCTCACTACAACAACAAGATCCAGCTCTTCTACTACGGGAACCGGATCGGGTTCATTTTCATACCGGCTGGCGAGATCGAACCGGGTCGGGCGAAGGATATGGCCGCTGATTTCTCCGTGGATTCGTTTCCTCTCGTGTCGTCGTCTTCTCGAATCTCCGCCAAGGAGTTTGGAGACGGGTTAGTGAGGGAGGGTAGTCGGGGCGGGTCGACGGTGGAGATAGAGTCGAGGCTGGAGATGGCGGGTCGGGTTAGAGTTTTGGGTCTGTTCACACATCGAATCGCGGCGAGATGTAATTGCAGGATCGCGATTTCTACTGTTGATGGCTCGATCGTAGCCGTCCGTTGTTGATACCAGGCTTTTGTGGCAAACAAAGAAAACTGTACAAGTGTCTTCTTTTCAGACAATATGTAAACTGTAGTAAAAACCCATCTTGGTTTCTTTTCTGAATTGTGAAGTTAGAAAATTGCAAATATAGTTACAGAAGGATTTGTAACTTTAATATGTTGAATGGTAAGGAGATTGAGTTACAGGGAATGGAAATGCATAGTAAACAGAAAATATCTGAAGGATTACATTAATCAATTTTACGAGACAGAACAAAACGAGTAATACTATACATTAAGGAGTAGAAATGATGATTTAAATATCAAGAACTGCTAATGATAATTAGTAGTAAATCCAATCCCTTGTAAACTGTGAATTCTGATCAGCATTTTCTCATGTGTTTTATAAAAATGAATAACTAACGCAGAGAGAAAAGAAAACAAAGAAAAGTGAATTAAGAGGAGCCGTTGGAGGAGGCGTAGCCGTAAGGATTATTGCTGGCCCAGTTCCATAGATCCCTACACATGTCTTCGACCCCATACTTAGCCCTGCATTCAATACCCAAATACCAAACAATAGATCATTAGATTTGAAATGTTAGGTGCGTATCTTAAATCTAAAACCCATTTCAATACGCAACTGAGAGAGCCTGAAGCTTTTTTTGTCATGTTTGACATTCATGAAAGCTAATTACAAACTAGACTGTCATTTCTCCTCTAGTCTAACTATTTGACAAAACAAAGTTTAACTTACTTCCAATTTAGCTCGCGTTCTGCTTTCTCTGTTGAGGCGTAAACAATCTCAGCGTCTCCAGGACGTCGTCCGGCCATCACCAACGGGATTTTCTAATCGGAAAAAACAACAACAACAACAAGTTAAAACCAATAATCCGTAATCGGGTTTAAAAGACCAAAAAAGCAGAGCATAATTCCATTAAACCAACCAATCAATGTTTTTACCTTTCCAGATGCCTTCTCAAAAGCAGCTACCATTTCTAGAACCGATGTTCCATTGCCAGTTCCAAGATTGTACACCTCACAATCTGACCATTTTCAAAGTATTTAGATTGGATACCATGGCAAATAATAATGAAAAGGAGAAACAGACAAGAGTTTAAATATAAAACTTACTGATTTTGAGATCATCTAGCTTGCGCAGAGCGGCTATATGTCCATCTGCTAAATCAATCACATGAATGTAATCTCTTACCTGCAACAAAACCAAGAAAGATGTTAAAGATAAATCAAGAAGCTTCCATAATCCACAATCCAAGATTGTAATGTAATAATCAATCAAACGATTCTTGTCCGCGAGAGACAGACATTATATAAGACACACACATACCCCTGTACCATCCTTTGTATTGTAGTCGGTTCCAAAGACAGTGAGGTGAGGTCTCCGACCAACAGCAACTTGTTGGACATAAGGCATAAGGTTGTTTGGAACCCCAAGAGGATCTTCACCAATGTAACCACTCGGATGTGCACCAACAGGGTTGAAGTATCTAAGCAATATGATCTTCCACTCAGGGTCAGAACGATGCACATCCCGGCAAATCTCTTCGATAAAGAGCTAACACAACAACAACCAGGAAAAAATCTCAGTCAGACTCATTTACTAGCATTATCACAAGTTGAGTTTTGGTAAGAACTCATACTACCTTGGTACGGCCATATGGGTTGGTTGCAGAAATAGGAGACTCCTCAGTACAAGGAACCTCTTTTGGCCAGCCATAGACAGTAGCTGATGATGAAAACACAAGCTGGAAAAATAGAGCAGTAAAACGCTAATCATTAGAATCACAATACAAAGACAAAAGAAGAATATAATATAACACAAATAAATGATTGAAGCCATGTGGTAGCAATTGGAATGTAAAAGAGAAGAATGGAAAATTACATTTTTGCAGCCGTATTGAGACATAACCTCCAAAAGAGTGACAGTGCCAACAAGGTTATTATTATAATACAGCAAAGGCTTCTCCACACTCTCACCTACTGCTTTCAGTCCAGCAAAATGTATCACTGCATCAAACCTGTTTAATAATAATAATAATCCCACTTTATATCAAAACCAATTATATGAACAATTCTAATCATCTGTAATCTTAAGAGAGTCAGAAAATTAAATTAAAGCTTTTCAATCATACTTGGTTTCTGAGAAAATCTTCTCAAGCGCAGGCCTGTCTCTTAAATCAACCTGCAGGTAACAGAACAAGAAAAATTCAGAGATGACAGCGCAAATATACTTTTAAGTTTTAAAGGTATTAACGCAATGATAAAAGTTCTGATTCTCCTTCTTGAGAAGAACATCCCAATTGCAGACAGATCAACATATTAAATATATAATTCCTTTTAAGATAATAATAATAATATTATAATACACTCTTTCACATGGCGTTGATGCTTTTATTCTGGAGTTTTTTTTTTAAGCACAAAAATTAGCCACATGGTGTCCGAGAAAATTAACAAATGACCTGTTCCCACGCTAATTCGTTGTCAACAGTAAAAAAAAAAGATAGAGACAGTAATTACAGTTTAACAGAAATCAATTATGGTGATTACGAGCAAAATTCTTAACGTACACGTTTCCTATAACAATAACAAATCATAATTCGCCGATAAAAATTTTTGATTCGACGGGAGAAAACGTTACCTGGTGGAAGGAGAGACGGTTCCCGTTATCGCCGGCGAGTTTTTTGACGCGTTGGAGAGAAACAGAGGATGAATTGTCGAGATTGTCGACAACCACGACGGAGTAGCCGTCGTTTAAAAGTTGAAGCACCGTGTGACTACCGATGTAGCCAGCGCCGCCTGTCACCAGAACGTTCTTCACCATCTTTTTTTTTATAACAGAAAATTAAAATTCCAGAGAAGTTATGTGATTTTAAGAGCGTTTTTGTGTATGGGATATAGAGCAAAGGAGGTTTTATAGGAGCGGTGATGAATGGATGGATATATTTAATGTATTTTTTTGACTGTATATTTACTTGCTTGCGAGATTCTACGTTTCTAGAGAGGAAGCGAGAGAGCTAGCGAGGAAAGGAAACTAATGCGACACGTGGCGGAATTCTGTTTGGGTGCGAATATACCGGATTGTTTTTAATTGACTGAATTGCCCTTTGACGTTATTGTTAATGGAAATGTAATTATTGTAATATAAGTTCTTTTCTCTTAATTTAATCTTGGAAGTAAATGTAAGAAGATTAATGGATATAATAAATTTGAATGTGACGAGGAGGATGTTTTAGATTTCATTAATATTTAATAGTTTACCCTCAGACTAGATTTGTTTTAGATCATTCGAATATACTTTTTTCCAAACAAAGATAATTAATTAGATATTATATTCATTTTATTTTTAATTTAGGTTGGTTAATGATTTGTGGTTGTTTTGATTTCATGGAAATCTCTCTAAGGTGGAACATGTATATTCCACAAAATTCGGTCACGAGATTTTGAGTGAGTTAAGCATTCAAGGATTGTGTGTACTTTATGTATAATTAAAGTTAAATTAAATCCCAACTTTAATGCTATGTGAATCAAGTTTTCTTTACTTACATATGTGCTACAAAACAAGCAACACGGTTAAGGTTTCGAAAAGAACATACTACTGAAACCATATGACATATACTACCTCTTTAAAAATATCGACAATACATTACACATTACTAGTGGATATGCATTTTGCCAAGAATTGGGCATATTGGATTATCAATAACCAAATACAAACGTTATTTCTATCATATAATATAGATGGGTGGCACCGTTGACAGCAACTCCACCAAGGACTTTCCGTGACTTGAGAGTTATCCACGAAACGTATATTATTTTCTCTAATACCTTTTTCTGTTTTCAGTTATAGTTTTCATACATTTCTCGTGAATATTCTAAGAAAACAAACATATAGGTAGAAAGATAGATGAATATCTAATTTAGGTTGAAACCCTTGTGTTTCTTTACTGAGAACGTAAATCAGCTAAGATTATAGTAGTAGCTAAACCAGTCAGAATTTGACGATATAACGTGGACGTGATTGATATCGATCGTTACAGGTTTCTGACTTAGCATTTTTATGGATAAGTCTTGATTTGATTTTTAAAATTATAAAGACTAAGCTACCAACAACGACCATTAATATAGATAAGTTGTGTGTCTCCCTTCCGTAACTCAGCTTGTCGAATCAAGTGACATTCCAAATTAATCAACTTTTGAAAACAAAACTAGAAGTTGTCCAAAAAAAAAGAAAAACTAGATAAGGCTAAAAGTCAAGAACTAAAGGAGTAACTCAGTAGCCGACCCATATTGTGAAGATGAGTCAAAAGGACTAACGTGGATTCACAAGATAAATTCTATCAATTTTAGGACAATTGTTTGGTATTATTTGGTCTTGAAGCTGTCTCAAGAATCAAATACGAATGACCAACATGAAAACGAAATATATATATGCTATATAATTTATGGGTCGCCTTATGAAACGATCGATATGCAAACAAGGAAGATAACGTCATGGCATATACAAAGATTGAGCCAAATCTGAAAATATAGTGGATTAGGTCAAACTAAAAAGAAAAAAACAGTTTATGGAGTCTTTGGACCATTACACCATGATCATGATGACAAATTCAAAAGATAATTATATGACGGAGTTGGGTCGAAACCTTTAGCCGCTTCTCGATGGTACTTAGTGGACCAGAATATTTAATATTTAATGCGTAATTAACATATCCATATCCATAAACGTAAATATTATGTTTGGTTAAGTTTTTGGAATATGCAATAATTTATGATTTTCTTAACATCTTCGATAGAAAGGCAAGTGGGAAGAGAAAAGAGTTAGCAAGCGTGTATAGATTTTGTTTGGTTTATTTTTTGGAATAGGCAACATTTTACTTAACATGTTAGTTTCTTGGTATTTTCGTATTTCGTAACAACTTCAAAATAAAATAAAAAAGTAGGAAGGGAAACAAAAAGGTAGCAATTTCTTTCGCCTGAATTAAATGAGCGGAATATGTATTAGGCTTAGGCATAACAAAACAACAGAATAAAAGTCCAAAACAGTGAGTGGAATATGTATTATGCTTAGGCATAACAAAAAAACAGACTGGAGATGCGGGGAATCGAACCCCGTGCCTCTCGCATGCGAAGCGAGCGCTCTACCATATGAGCTACATCCCCAATTTTGATATTTGATATGCCCATGAAAACTTGGATTGTTTAGCGAAGCGTTGACTACGTCGTACCAGATATTTAATTCACACCGTGTCTTGCACCAGATACACAAATCACACCGAATGAAATTCCAAGACTTCAAACTGTACTTATTTATTACCTGGATGCAGTTTCAGAAATACGTAAAGCAAGTCATATATTCACAAAAGAACTGCGTTACTTAGTGCGCTTAACATGAATATAAATCCGAAAGCCAAAATCTAAAAGTGGAGGGAGGCTATGTGGTTTTAGTAAGTAAATCTTCTGGCTCTAGCCCATGGTGGCAACCTTGGAACATGCACTTCTTTAACCCCATTGTTGTTGTTGTTACTCTTCCTCTGCTCTTTCATTATTGCAAACCGAGAGTCCAGTGTCTTCCACGTCCCTCCTCCATTCTCTACTTTCTGTTCCACCTCTTGCCTCTGAGCACAAAGATCAATTTTTATAAGCTCTCCAAAACATTCATATTATTTAAAGCACTTGGACATTAAGATCAAAGGAGTTGGGCAAGATTTAGTCATCACGCTTACTATAACACACCATGATATGCTTTTACCAGATCAAATTACTAACAAAACTTACACAGATCCTATCCAACAACGTTTCATTGCAAGGTTCAAAATTCATAAACCCATAATCAATCCAAGGACCTTTTATAAATTATCTTCTATCATTAGAAGGCAGTTTTTACTATATACACAGAACAGAACTTCTGCGAATATATCTCAGGGCCCCATAAACATATCAACAAGGAAAACTACTCCTAAGAAGTAGATCCGAATAAGATACAGCAAAGAATCATTTACCTTTGCAATGAATCTAGCGTGTCTATTCTGGACTGGTGGAGCAAGAAGCCTGTATATATTAAAAAAACGAAAAATTGCTGAGAACCGAGAAAACATATAGAGAAAACCTTATAGGAAAGCTTGAAGAAACAGCCGGTAACTGACACCAACAGACAAACATGATCTGATTCCCGCAGAAGAGCTGACTCTCTTACTACCACAGAAGGATCTAAGGCGAAATCCAATTAACAAAAAAAGATGGCAAATAGCGATTTTATACTAAGCAATGTAATACTTCAGTTCCCAGTCTTAGAGGCTCCCCCAAACATTAACACACTCCCATTTCGCAGTAACTACTCAGAAAAAGTGCAAGCTCTTGAGGTATTTTCATCTTTCCGCGCAACAAGAGATGGACTCTGTCCCGACAAATCAACTTATCAAAGACAAAGCATAAAGCTCAAGAGACGATCCATGGCGCAGCCAAGTAAACAATGAGCTGTATATTGATGAACATCCGGAAGTCTAGTCTTCTGATTTTTCACCGTAACAGACATCGACCAAGTACCAATTCAATGTGACAACCCCAGACGAGAGCTAAATCTATATTCTTTAGGATGCAGGAAGAAAATGAGACATAGCACCTAGGAGACTGATATGAATGGAAACGATTTCCAAGAATCCACTGAAGGCATAACAAAGTTCAAGTACTGTAGCATACTGCCCAACTTGTTGATCTGACAATAAACACCAACTTCAAGCAACATAGATTCATTCCCAACCTAGCCACATCCTAACAACTGAGGGAATATCAAAGGCTAAACCAGTCTGGTGACAAACACCCTAGCTAGTAGCTACTCTCCACTCTCCAGAAAAGTTGAAGCCCCAACCTTAAGGTTATTCAATTGTTCTCCTTTAACTCAAATCCTCAACGAAAGAAAATGGTAACCGACTCCTCCAAGTACCATCATAAACTCAACTACATAAATTTGGATTATTATTCCGAACCACACTAATGCATTCATCAATATGATGACCAACTAGCGCCGGGACCTAGAGCAGAAGCTTCGTGACTTAAATAAATTGAAGAAATTATAACCACGCCAGATTAACAGACAGCTCAAAGAATGATCCAGCATCTAAACCTTGACTGATTTGCACAACTCTTCCTTCCAGCATTGAAACCTCTTCTACGGACACGGAGTGGAGAAACAGGAGCCGCTTCAGGAGTTGTAACAGGAAACTGATTTCCTTTGAAGTTAGACCTTCTCTTAGCAACAGCACCCTGAAAAATTATAAGATAAGTCACAAACTTACAAGAAAAATCAAAGTAAAGGAACAACAAGATGCAAAAGATAAGACAAAGAAGCCAAGCAAACAGATCAGCTGAGCACACTCTCCATATCTAACCTGTCTAACTCCAGAAAGTGAGTTCACGTGATGCTTCTCTTTAGAGGTATTGTTTCTTCTCGCAACACCATTGAAGTTTCGGCTTTTGCTCTGCGCAGAAAACAAAAAAAAACAAAATTGTATTCCTTCCAAGTAAGCTTGGACCTATAAGCTTGGACCTATATGAAGATCTCTCTACCTTGGCTCTCCTTGAATTTTTGCGCTTGTTCCCCCCTTTGGTGTCACTCTTTGACAACTTGATGAGATCATCTAAAACCAAGAAGATAAAGATATTATCATGAGCAACAGCAGAATTAGAAAGGTAGAGTGTGCATAAAGATAAAAACATAAAGATACCTAAAGCCATGGCAACTTTCTTTGCGTTGAGAGCAATGGGATCTTCCACAAGTTGTGTTTCAATCTCCATCTACACAAACCATCGCAAATTCACACACCAATCAAAAGAAACGCACAAATCAAACAAACCCTAATCAACTTCAAATTACTCCATCGATAACCTGAGTGATTAATCACAATTAGACTACTACATAAACCTAATCCATGAGAAGCAAAGCAACCTTAATTCACAATTCAATTGAGCAAAGACTACCGAATCAAACAACCAAAATCTGAAATTCTGAAGCCTCGCGAAGGATAAACCGTAAGAAGACGAAGAAGCTTTACCGTCTATGAAGTAAGGGGTAAGAGCGAAAGCGATCAGAGATATGAAGAAGACGACGGAACGAAGCTAAAGAGTCTTCCTCCTGAACAGAGACGATGACGACCTTTTGATGATAACCGAGTCAACTCGTCAGCTCTCTCTTTATTTATACCGAGTTTTTATCTGTGGAGTCGGAAATTATAAATTAACCGCCTTGTTAGTAGTCCACGCGGCGTATTACCATTGGCGGATATAACTAAATAAACGAACTATCTTGTTTTTTCCGGTAATCAAATTTGATTAGTGCATTTCATAAGGGTTTAGCACACCATTTAACACAGTAAAACGGTGATTTTTCGATTTTTATTTGTTTACAAATGATTAACAAACAGTAAGTATTTTTTCTTTTTCTGATGACATTTTTTGCATTTTGATCTAAAGGCTGAAAAAGAGAGGGAGGAAACAGAGGTGGTTAGGTTTTAGTTCTGGCCGTAGATCCACTTCTCAGCATTGTTGGTGTAAGAAACGAGTTCTTCAGGCTTAAACCACAAACTAATCTCGTCTTTTGCTGTCTCTGGTCCATCACTTCCATGGATAATGTTCCTAGAATGAAACAAACAAAACCAAATCCATTGATGAATGAACCAATTATGAATTATCATACATACAAATACAATGCAACAAGATAGCTAATGTAGTACCTTCCAAGAACAACTGCAAGATCGCCTCGGATTGTTCCAGGTTCAGATTTTTGAGGATCAGAGGCTCCAATCAGTTTACGTCCGTATCTTATCACTCCTTCACCTTCCCACACCTTTAAAACCAAGTTCAATATTCTCAACCAAGACATGGTTTTATAATGGTTTGAAAGTTGTTATTTTTAATTACCATGGCAACAACAGGGCCAGAGCTAAGGAAGTTACACAAGCCATTGAAGAAAGGTCTTTCCTTTAGAGCGTGGTAATGCTTCTGAGCGATACCCTTTGAAGGAACCATGATCTTGATACCAACAAGCTTGAATCCTTTGCGTTCGAACCGGGTGATGATTTCTGATATCTGGTGACGTGAGCAGCATTGACTCAGAAATGTTTACCTTACACTAAAAAAGGGAATACAAAAGCAAAAAAAATCAAGCGTACGCCTGTCTATATTTACCATCCCTCGATGCACTCCATCAGGTTTGACAGCGATGAAAGTGCGTTCCATCTGATTGAACACAGAGAAACCCAATTGAAAAAAAAAACCGAAACTAGGGATAACCTAAGAGAAGAGAAATAGATATATATTACCTCAGCAGCAAGGACTTCCTGATCTTGGATCATGAAGGCTATAACATAAACCATACAAAGAAAGCAAGGCTATTCATCAAAGTCTATACGTGAAACATGAGTATAAACAAACAAATTAAATAGTTCATCAGATATAATTGTACTAACTACTAACTGTGTTAACAAAGAAAAGATTTGAGCATATGTCCTATAGACTATACTTATAATACACATGAGTAAATGGTAACCAGCATTTTTATGTATGTAAAACCTGCGGCAGGAAGAGCGAGGAGACCAGTAATCCAGCTCTTAGAGGTGAAGCCAGGACCTGATTGTCCAAAGTTCGATGCATAATGAGGGATTTTTCCAGACGCATAAACCACTGTTGCTGCACCAATGGCTCTACCTTCTGAAAACATTTAAACATTGTATCCTCAAAATGTTGATCAATATGTTTTTGCACCATATTTTATAAGAATAAATAGATATAGATGTTTACGTACCGGAGAAGAAACGAGTGTTCTTAGATGAATAAAGAAGAGATCTTGCTGCCCTAGTAGCTGATCTGCAGATTTGGGAGCTCATCTCTTTGTGCAAAAAGAGTGATGTGTTAGGAATAGGACTAATTAGGAACAGAGAACTCAGGAAAATGGGAACCTGTTGGAGGTTTTATACCAAGCAAGCTTATACTTCGATCAATTCAGGTCAGGTGGAACCGGTCCGGTTTAATTGGCATATGATTTTGTTGTTGCCTTTGTTTACTCTTCTTTATTCCAACAAAGATTTATTGCCTATTCAAGAAACGAATAGATGCCAAAGTCTTTAGCTGCTAGATCAGATGGAATCAAGAGGGAGAGAAGAAGAAAAGCATCAAACAAGATACTACCAAAAACCTCAAAGATAAAGACGTTCGAAGTTCTCCTGCCAAAATTTGTCCACCAACTAACTTATAAGTTATAACAACGCTAACATATGAGGCCTATAATGAGTGGTCCACTATAAAACTTATGTCGAAGCCCAAACAAAGCAATCCGGTTAGGCATAAACCGGAACCAGGTAGGGAAATAGATAGAACTCATCTAACTGAAATCATGATATGTGAAGGAGAAGAAAACAAAGCTGATCACGCATCTTCCTTTTTCTCCTTCATCTTCTTACTCTTCTTCCCATCTTTCCTTACTAACGTCTTAACTATTATTCAGTGATTAATGGCGACTTCTTCTATCACCATACCAACCATTCGTGGAACCAAGTTTCTCGGCCAGACACATCTCTTTTCAACTCCAAACAGATCAGTTTTCCCGCCTCAAAAACAGCTATCAAACGTTCAAAGAGTAAAGGCCATGGCTAAGTTCAACCTATGGGAAGTGATGGGAGGAAGAGGCTTATGCAACGGAGAGAAAGGTATTGAGAAGGAGCTCCAGAGAAACATAGAGGAAGAGACTTCAAAGACTGAGAACGAGACCAAGAAAGAGAGTGATGACAGTAACTTGTCGTTTAAAGTACCAGAAGACGGTTTCGAGAAAGAGATGATGGGTCTCACCGGAGGCTTCCCCGGCGGCGAAAAGGGACTCAAAACGTTCATTGAACAAAACCCACCACCTCCACCACCACCACCAACACAACCACCTTCGAAGCAAGGAAGCGATGTTTCAGCTATAGAGAAGAAGCCGAGAGCTCCGGAGTTACCTCTTCTAATGCCGGGGATGATAGCAATAGTGAAGAACACGAACAGTCCTTACCACATGTACTGTGGGATAGTGCAGAGGATCACGGACGGGAAAGCTGGTGTGTTGTTCGAAGGAGGGAACTGGGACCGTCTGATAACGTTCAGGCTTGAAGAGCTCGAAAGAAGAGAGAAAGGTCCACCTGGTAAGAATCCAAAGTCTTGTGTTCTTGAGCCTCTTATTGAACAGTTGCAAAATGAGGCTGCACCATAATAAGTTGGATCTTTCTCTACTCTTCGCTTTTCCCATGAATGTATATGTAACGTACCCTGACTGGTTCTATAAAAAGCTTCAGCATATAAAATATAAAAATCCATGAATTCCAACCCACCATAAGGGATTAATAGAGAGTAAAAATGCACTCAAATCAGTGTATAAGTAAAAAGGATTTAAGACTGCAATTTGAGTCTGTTTTATTGTGTCATTGACATCAGTTTTTTTGAAGAAGCCAAATCTTGAATCCTGAGTATATTCTGTGAATTGTTAAGAAGAGAAGCGGTCCACAACTTCCTCATCAATAGATCATATTGAATGATCAGATGCAGCCTCCCAGCTGTGAAGATTTTGCAGAAAAGGACAAGTTAGAATGGAAAAACTAACTCAAAAGAGTTCAATGTTTAGTCGATAGACTTAGTAGTTGGTCCGGGCATAATATGTAGTTAGGAGAATAACCGCAGACATGTGCAAACTCAAGAGAACTATGGTATGAAAATGGTGCAGCAAACTAATCATGTCCAAGAACAAGTTAACGTACCAAAATGGCTTCCATCTCTTCGTTAGAAACAGGGGTGCGCTTAGGCTGCAGTGAGGCCTTCCCGCCTATAGTCTTGGGCGCGTTGAGGTTGGAGAAGAAGAATGTATCTGCTTCATTTTCCACCTGCTTCGTTCCCTCTGTAATTTTGATCATTAAAAGGTAATAACTTTCAATGCACAAATATCACCAAAATTAAACAAAAAGAACATCTACATCGATTGATATAAGAAGAGACTTTACTAAACGCTAAACAAAATCTTTGTAGCAAAGGTAGACGAAACTATATCCTTTGAAAAGGACAAAGCAATTGATGAATTTAAGACATAACACATAGGGATTATTATCATGTACGAGGAATCCGTTTTCTTACACAAACAGAGACTCTTAAGACAAATAATAAACAAACGAACATGTTCCTGGTTAACAAAATTTAAAGGCACTCTTGATTACGTTTTATTACAAATCTAAGAATCTAAAAACGTTGAATATACATATACTTCATATACTTTCACCGAACGAAACAGATCAGAGATCATGAAATCAAAATAAAAAAGTGGATATAATCTCATACCTGATTCAACATAATGAAACCGTACACAAAATATTCGGATCAAGCAAGCAAAAAAAAAAAAACATGAAACATGTTAAACCGAAAAAAAAAGAGATAGATTCTGTAGCGTAGAAGAGATCAAAAACCTGAAGGTTTGAGGTGACGCTGAGGGAACTTAATGCGAGGAATCCTCTTCATTCCATGAACCACGTTCATCTCTTCTCTCTTTCTCGTTCGTTCTGTGTACCAAAAGGAGAATGTTGACGGCGACTTGAATGTTTTCTATGTTTGTGTCTTCTTCGAACCTTCTGCTCTTTGTTTACAAGTTTCTATAATCATGGGCCGTTATGCTATAGTTAGGCCTACGTAAGAATACGGCCCAATTATAAGCCCTTCAATGTTTTCTATTTTCCGGTATTCTCCGGTTTTGTGATTGCAGCACCAACTGAAAATTGATCCCGGTCCGGCCAATGTTTATGTATTTTTTTTTTATTTTTTGATTAATTATAATACTACAGTGCTAAGAAATATGACATAATCAATTTTACAGTCAGAGCCGGCCCTAGCATCAAGCTATGGAAGCAGTTGCATATGGCCGTTTATTTTATAAAAAAATTTTGCCACATATTTCATATTGTTCCTATGGTCTAGTGGAAATGTGTCCAACACTCCCCTTCTTTGGATCACCGGTTCGACCAATGATAGTTACAGATCAGACCACTTTTTTTTTGTTTTAAGTCTTAAATATTCTAGGACCGACTCTATTTACAGTCAACAATTATGAGATTACACGTCTGACTGTGTTAATCTAAACCGTCTAATGAGATCTATGTTTGATGATATACTATGTATCATGTTGAAATTTTTTGTAATTCTTTTTCTATAATCAACATAATTTGTATTTTATGTAATCTGAACCCCATATATACCGATGTAGAAGCACTAATGAATTCTTAATTAAATCATCGGAGTAAGACGGTTTCCACGTACCAATGTTTATGTGAAGAATGGGTAAATTTAAATTGCGATAGATATATCATATATGTATATATATATATATATAAGTGTGATTGGTAAGAAGATGTGAAGTGTGTGTGTATGTGTGATTGGTAAGAACATGCCCAATCTTGTGATCATTCCGCCAATTAATTACTTTTTAAGTTATCAAACAGTCTCTTCTTACAGTTTTCAATTTCATAGGTTAAGTTTTCTGTTTGTGAATTTTTAATAATAATATTTCTATGAGGGCCCTAATCTCCTTTAGTTTTTGGAATTTGTCTTTTAAATTTTTGATTTTATAGAAATGTTACGGACCTGTAACATATTGGTAACTTGGAAGAATATTATCAGATTTGTATGCTTGGGTGTACGTGTATAGTATGTTGCTCTCCCTTAAGATAAAGATTACTACTACTATTCGAAGTGGGACATCAGAAAATGAGTGTTTGATGGGAAATGTTAAAACGAGGACTTGGTCAAGCGCAAAAAAAAAAAAAAAAAAAAAAAAAAAATT